CGGTTCAGCGCGGCTCCAGGCCTGCGCCCCACTCAGCCCTCACCCCTATCCACAGGTCAGCCCAAGCGTCTGCCCACAATGAGTGAAGCGTCACAGCCAAAGTCACGAAAACTCATCTCATCCTGCAAATGTGACCAGTCCACCACGAAACAGGAGTCCTCTTAAAAGAATCAAGAGGGGGACTGTAGTCCCCTCACCTCGATTCAATGAAAGCCAAGAACGCGGCATGGCTTCCCCTGGCGCGGTTTCCCCTCACATGGTGACCTGGGTGCTAGACACCTAATGGGTCGGGGGAGCCCCAGCGACCACTCAGAAGTTAAATGCTCCGGGAACTATCTGATCGTGAGACACGCAGAACCACATGGGGCACTAACACAGTCAAAACGAACAAGCAAGATACACGAAGCAAGGGCCTGGCTCTCAGGATCTGCTTGGTTTCGTCGCGCCCCCGCCTAACAGAAACGTCCATTCTACACGCGGTCTCTTCATGGAATGAACGCAGAACGTCCAAAAGTTCTCTTCTAGGACAAGAATATTCGTTCAGAGAAGCTTTTGTTTAATTACCTAATCCCACATAGCTTTGTACTTTAAAAACTTTTTTTTCCAAAGTATCTGCACAAAGCACTTGAACATCTGTGGCCAATTACGATGACATAAGATGAAACCAGACGCAGAAGCCTGCCGTCACCCAAACGCGTCAGAAAGCAAGGGCAGAGTCCCCGAGCCATCTGGCCCCTGCACTAGCCTGGTCCTTACCGGAGACGCAGCGGGACCTGGGGTGCAGTGTTACTCCTGGAGAATGCTGAAGAAAGTTCCCCACCCCACGCACCCCCCACACACCTGGCCATGCAGCAGGATCCCCACCTAATCAGCACAGCAGGCCGGGGGCGCCCCCCGCCTCCTAACCCCACCACAGGACGCCCCCTCTGTGAGCCTCCTAGGCAGTGCAGGGCTGCACACGCCAGCTCACAGCCACTGGCCAGGTGTGATGGCATCTGTGTCACGGGACAGGCCTCGCAGTACAGACAGCCACGTTCTCCGACTCCAGAAAGAACCCAGGAGGACAACTACCGAGGAACCCAGCTCCTCGTTCTGTGATGTGCACCTGCGCCCTGACTTCCCAGGAGGCCACCCACCTGCTCTCCCAGGTCATTACGAGCACCAGGAGAAGAGAGGAACACAACATCACCTAGCGATCAAGGGAAGAGAGACCAACTACAGTCAAAGAGTCTGAAACCTCCATCCGTAACTTCAGAAAAGACTCTGGCTTTTCAGAAGTGCAGGACCATGCGCTGGACCAGAACGAGGCTGATCCCAGGCGGAGAGAAAGCCCCAACCTCCAAGCCCAGGAGCTCCAGAGAGAAACCGGCCCGCCATGGGAAAAACTCCCAGGCTGTTTCCTAACACTCTTTGCAGACCCAAGTATACACAGTGACGTTCATTTCCATGTGCTCTCAAAGACACAGGACAGCTAGTCTGCCCACAGCCGTGCAGACCCACGGACGCCTACACTCCACACTGGGGGAGCCTTTTTGCTCCTGACTCCACAGGACGCGGTCACAGGTGCAGGTGCCCCTCCTCACCCACAGACCTTCCTTACCTCTGCAGGGGAACTCATCATGTCCATCTCTCTCCTAAATGCAAATTAAAAAAAAAAAAAAAAAGGACACCACCACCAACAGGCCCAGACCCAGGAAAGTTATAATAAGTTATCTTTAAAGGATAATTGCTAAAAATAATAAAATGAAAACATTAAAAAGAAACCATAAAGGATAAATGCGAACGTATTTTTTTCTTGCGCCTCCCGCTACACGTCTCAGAACACATAAAAGAAAAGCAAAATTAACACACAATCCACTCCACAACACACGTTCGGAAAGCGGATGAGAGCGACCGTGGGCTACCCAAGGAGAGCTGCTGTTCTATTTATAGAACGAGAGTGCTCAGAAAAAGACTCTGGTGGGTTTTAGCGGAAAAGGCTGGGGAAGAGATAAAAACCAGTATTTCTTTGAAGCTTTCTCAGAAACTGCATTTCTTCTGATTCACTGCTCACAAATACTATAGATATGTTGCAGAATATTTTTAAACACTCAGTCAAAAGCAATGAACTAAAAGTGGTCAAGAAAAATAACACCCCCGAATAATCTGCTGTTTTGCATTTGGCAGCCTGTAACCGGCACCCACAGGAAATGCTGCTCAGTTGGCAGGGCCCCTCCTCACACCCTACGGAGCAGAGCAACAGAACCAAACACCCAGACCCCAGGCTCAGCTCCCTCAGGGCATGCTGGGCAGCCAGGCTCTCAGAATCTTTTGTCAAATCCTTTGCACAAGCAAAAGAGGCTATCCTGTCCTTCAAGCAATCTAGGGAACCTCCATTACCATGAGGGACAAGAAAGGACAGATCTGCGACACACAGAGGCACTGACAATGAGAGTGTGGCAAGTGAGCGCTCGCTGGGCCACCTCCAAACAGGAAGCAAATCTCCCAGCTGGACTCCAAGGCTGAAACACAGCCAAATATTTAGCCTGAGCCTAAGTGTGGCCCTGGGCGCCATCGCCACCCACTGACCAGACAGACATGTGCCCAGGCACAGCCTAGACCACCTGGTCATCTACTGCAGGGGAAGCGCAGGTTGCTTACTCATCTGGCTCAGGAACAAAGAACTGAGGAAGGCAGCTCTGAAAATGCCCCTAAAAGAGGCCTATTTAAACCAGGGGGGCAGAGAACAGTTTCAGGAGCCCTGGTCAAATCCACCCGCCCACCCACCAGGCGTCCTCTGTCTTTGAGGGGCTGCGTGTGCCCAGTCATGGAGTGAGGACACCCCCCTCTCTGGAAAGGCAATGGGAGCCCCTCCCCTTCCCCCAACCCCACACTCCCTCCGCAGACACGGCCACAGCACTGGCTCTGAGGGCTACAGGGACAGTTCAGACCCGGGGAGGGCAGAGGACACGGGCACCAAGAAGGGAGCAAGTTTCCCGAGAGGGAAGGCTTCATCACAGAGCAGGTCTCAGACGACGAGCAGGGGTCTGAGGGGGCCAGGCAGAGGGGCCTGAAACCCTCAGAGGTTGCACAGGGCCAGAGACGGACAGGTCCAGATCACTGACAGCCGGGCCTGGGGGTCACAGGGGCCCCAAGTAAAGGGTGGCATCTCCCTGATGCACACTTTAGAAAGATGATTTTGGCCACAGTGTGAAGTGGGGGAGGGGTGAAACTGGAGGCAAGCAGAACACTCCAGAAACTCTTTTAAG